CACACACAGTAAACAAAGAAAAATGAGACGGGGGAAGGGGCTCAGTGGTTACTGCTCTTGCAAGAGGACTCAAATCCAGTTCCCAGTACAGAGATGGGAGCTTAAACATTGAGCCACCTTTCCAGTCCCTAATTCATACAATTTTAAAGAAAACATTGAGAGCTCTGTGTTCTGTGTATTTGTTGCCAGTGGTTTTTCTTTGTCCTGCCAGGTCCCACTGCCCTTCTCAGACCCAAATAAACACACAGAGACTTAATAAAGTATAAAACTGTTAGCCAATAGCTAGGGCTTCTCATTGGCTAACTCTGTTTCAATTATCAAACCATTTCTACAAATCTATATATTTCTACGTGGTCTTGACTTACCAGAGAATGCCTGACACATCCTATCCTCCCGGTGGCTACAAGGCGACTCCCTGATGGGCTCCCTCTGCCTACCTTTCCCAGAATTCTCCTTGTCTCCTAGTCCCGCCTATCTTCCTGTCTCATTGGCCAAACAGTGTTTTATTCATCAACCAATAGGAGAAACATATATACAGAAGGACATCCCCCATCATTTATTTAACAACACACTTGGGCATTCTGGAGTAATGGTGTTCCCTTCATGAACATAATTTTTAGGAGCTAATAGATGACAAGTGACAACTGCCTTCTGGATTTTTCCACATTCAGGAAAAAAAAAAAACATCAAGGGGAGATGGCTACACAAAGTCTCTTATGGATTAAATTAAGACGGTAAAAAACAGCATCCCCCAGGCTGGTGGGGGTTGTCTGTCTGGTATGACCTAATCCTGACCTTCAAGGATGCAGGAAAGAACCTGGCAAAGGGTGCTTAATTGACAACAAATGCAACCCCCCCCATCAAAGACCAGAGTTGCAACTGTAGCCAGGCAAGGGGTCTACAAGAGACATGAGCCACAAAAGGACAGTTTTTGAGTAGTCCCTGCCTTTCTGTACTCAAGGCACACACTCTTCGCTTTGAAGTATGTGCTAAGTAGTATTGTGACTTACACTGCCTTGAAGAGAAAAAAAGCCCTAGTAGAGGAAACAGAACATATTGCCACTACCTGACAGCCATTTTAAGTTGTTTTGATTTTTTTGGAGTTGGGAAACTTACTATATAGCTCATGTTAGTCTCCCCCCCCCCCCCAGACAGGGTGTCTTGGAATTCTTTATGTAGACCAGGCTGGTCTCCAATTCACAAAGTTCTCCCTGCCTCTGCCTCCTAATGCTGAGGGTAAAGGAGTGCACCACCACACCTGGCTCAGGCTAGTGTTGAACTCACAGGGTCAACACACATCAACAGCTGGGACTGTGGGTACGAGCATCACTTTAGAGGCTGTTTTAAAATAACTGTGTATTGTTTTGTTTGTATATGGCTGGGGTGGGCTCCACAGCTTGGAGAAAACCTCTTCTCTTTAATTACCCTTCACTCTGCCATCAGCTGTGCCCACAGTGGGTGACACTCTCACCTTCTGAAGCGGCACTGATGTCTCAGCCCTGTTGGCTTATTCTCTTATCAGATCTCTTAGGCCTTGTTTTTAGTCCTTGGCACAAAATGCTTCCCCAGGAAAAGTGCTTGTAGCCTATTAGACAACTCTGAAGTCACACAGTCTGTCCCTAGCCACCTTCTTTTCACAGCAATTAGACCCCATCAGTAAGCGCAGCCAGCAGTTCTGTGGGATAAAGGTCTTCTTTCACGTCAGACTCCCTTTGCCAGTCTGCAAACACGGAGCCCATTCTTGGTGGCTTGTCTTCCTCTCTAGAGTGTTTCTGTTCTCCGTGGACCTCTGTCTAACTCATTCTAGCAAACAGACATCTCTCTTCCGATGTCCTTGACTTCTTCCAGTCAGATCTTTCTATCATCATTCATCATAGCCAGCTGTGTGGCTCATGCCTGCACTCTCTGTATTCCAGAGGCTGAGGCAGAAGGATCACCAAGAGTTAGGGGTAGCCTAGGTTACAAAAAATACACCTTGCCTCATAAAAAGGCAGAAGGAAAACATTCCATCATAAACTGCCTCTTGGGATACCTTAATTTTTCAAATGGATTTGTCTTCAACATGGATAAACTTCCCGATGGTGGCAACTAGCCTGAGGCCACACTGTTCACAGCAGGTTTCACAGATGTGTTAAATGAGTGTGGATCGAATCTTTTAAGCCAGATTGAGGGACTCAGTGTCTGGAAGCTGTGCAAAAGCCAATTCAGCAACATCTGAATGCACATTTGTAAGTGACTGGGTTTGGAATTAACCATATTTCTAAATCCCTAGTGGTACGCAGAGATAAACTCCAGGCATTATTGTATCAGTCCGTTTCTGACTTTCCAGTGAAGGGATAAATGCTAGCAGGGACCCTCAAACTGGATGCTAATTACTGCAAATCCTCCCTGGTACAGCAGGCTTACAAAGGTAAGGAGTTTTTATTTGCCTGACAATGCCAGGTCCTGGTCCTGCACATCAGAAAGGGAGTTTGCCACTCACATTGGAGCAGGGCCAGTTGGTGTGGGCGGAGCTCTGACTGTCCTGTGATGTGGCATTCTGTGGAAGGCCTTAGTTGATTGGCTAGGCTGTGCTGAGCCAACCACTCCCTAGACCCAGCAGAGAGGGACAAGAAAACTTCCCGTCATAGTTGGAGCCTTAGAAACTAACTAGCAAGCGCTGGCCCAGTAACAGCTGCAGGGAAGGGAATGTGTGCCCAGAGAAGTCATGAAGGGGACAGAATTGGGCCTTTTCAGGATGGCTGCCCCATTCCTTGAGCCCCTAAACAGGTCATTTTTCAGCAGCCAATTGGCAGACAATGACTCTGGTGCATTTTGCTAACCTATGAAATGTTTGTTTTCAAAGTCTGACATTAGCTGTTAACACTTAAAAATGAAGAGATTTCACATACAGGTCTAGATTTCTGGCTTCTTCAAGCAGCTAAGCACCTGGTCATGCTAGGCTCTCCCACAGGGAGATGAACCTCTGCGTGGAACATCTGCTCTTCTTGAGGTCACTGCACCCATTTTTTGGTTCTGCTTACACCCCTGTTTGTTTTCCTTGATCTATAATGTTGCGTATTGCCACTCTGGGAGCAAGGAGGGAAGACCAAATAGATCCCTAAGACCCTAGCTCCTCCCCTCTGGGCTCTGGTGCCTCTTGATGTGGCAGGGGTGGCCCTGAGTCCTAGGATCTGTATTGTTTGTTTATCTAAACACCAACTGGATAACTGCCTGTCACTGAATCCTCTAGTAGGATGGTCATGAAGTACCTCAGGCTGAGGTTGATGGGAGCTTACTATGGACTTTCTCGAGCACTCTGTAAATCTTGGAACAGCCCTCATTTCAATGGTGGAGGCATTGAGGTTTACTGTGCAAAGCTCACAGACTCCTGAGCAATTCTCTTTACCAGGCAACCACTTCTCTGTCTGGTGATTTGCTGACGGCTATAGCAGGGTCCCTCAGAAGGTCTGTAGCTCAACACACATGCCGTTGTGGATTCAATAGTAGCCTTTATTTCTGTATTTTATTGATATATTGTGGACTTGTATATCACTTGTGTGGAGGTCAGAGGACTTGTGGTAATTGCTTTTCTTCTTCCAACATGTAAGCTCCATAGATTGAACCTGTTTGGCCCAAAGTGTCTTCACTTACTGGGCCATCTCAACAGCCTTAAGAGTACATTCTTAATCCCTTTAATCTCAGAACTCGGGAGGAAGAAGCAGGCAGATCTGTATGAGTTCGAGACCAGCCTGGTCTACAAAGCGAGTTCCAGGGCAGGCTCCAAAGAGAAACCTTGTCTCAAAACAAAACAAAACAAAACAAAAAACACCCTCCTGGGAAAAAAAGGGAGAAGTTCAAGGTTATCCTTGGCTACATAGGAAGTTCAAGGACCTATCCTGGGCTAGAGACCAAAACAAACTCACCGTGAAGCTTTTTTTGGGGTTTTTTTTTTTTTTTTTTGGTTTTTCTGTGGTTTTGGAGGATGTCCTGGAACTAGCTCTTGTAGACCAGGCTGGTCTCGAACTCACAGAGATCCCTGCCTGCTTCTGCCTCCCAAGTGCTGGGATTAAAGGCATGGGCTACCACCGCCTGACAACCGTGAAGCCTTTTAACCCATGCAGTTATCACTCCTGAAGCAGGATGACACATTTGTCTGTCAGGATAGGAGAGTATGCCAGGTGACTGGCTAAGTGACTAAGGGAGGACAGTCTAAAAACTGCAGTTCACATGCCTATAGAATTGCTTTGCCTGGTGAAGTTATCCCTGATGCTTGAAGGACACATAAAATTTTTTTTACGAGACAGTGTTTCTCAATCTAGCCCTAGCTGCGCTGGAACTCACTCTGTAGACCAGACTGGCCTCAAACTCACAGAGATCCGCCTGCCTCTGCCTCCTGAGTGCTGGGATTGAAGGCGTGCACCACCCCCTCTGGGCCCCATGAATTCATTTTTAAAACTAGTCTTTAATTATCATTTCTTTTCAAGTTTTTCCGAGATGTAAAAGGTCAAGGTCTTCAGCTGGTTCTAAACCTCTGCTAACAGCATGCTCCACCTCACCTCACCCAAGTCTAGCACCAGCTTTCGGGGACCTGGAAACTACTAGCAAGGATGTCAGATAGAAACTTAAGAGGTCGGGATGTGGGAAACAAAGACGTGAAAATGGGGAGGAAGAACTGTTTGGGTTTTAAGACCGGAATCTGCTAGGTTCCTGCTAGACCAATCTGCAGCTTTTGCAAGCAGCCTTAATGTCTTCAGCGCCCCGCTGCGGAACTCAAAGCTCAGCTTGTCACGACTGTTAACACCTTCTTTGACCAGTCTCTATTTGACAATTTTTCTCTTCTGTTCCTTTCTTGCCACCGGGAATGTTCCAGGAGAACATTGGCTTTTAGGGAGTCCCATAGCGAACCGCCCCCTTGGCGTGCAGAAGTTGGGTTACTCTGGACTAGCCGGTTTACAGGGTGAGTAGCTTTTCAGACTTCGGGAGCGGGACGTGGGGGGCGGGGATGGACAAGAATGATTTTGGAGGTCCCTGGGGATCATCTGGAAAGTTAACGACGCTTCAGGTTCTAGGCTGGGGACAATGGCCGCCTTCCCAAGGCTATTGGCCCGGAGGTCGGCGCGGAGCAGCGGAGCCTTGGGCTGCATTGGGTTTCCCCAGTTTCCCAGAGGGTGCAGAGGCTGCGACTCTCGAGCCGGAGGGGCTGCGTCCACGAGGGATCCCGGGTCTGGAGAGCAGCAGCCGGGAACCAGGCGTGCTCGCGGGCTTCGGGAGCCCTCCCACTCTTGCCAACTTTCCCGGCCCCGGGGCCGGAGGAGGGCGCATTTCCCGCGCGCCAATACTTAAGGCGGCTCGGCTGGGCCAGCGATCATCAGTCGGAGCGCTCGGCAGCACCGTGGAGGCAGCGCACCGCGGCGGGAGCCGGAGGAGGGGCATGGAGCCGCCGCGGGCCTGCTGAGCACCGGAGCGCGGGCAGCCGGCGGCACGGTGAGCGCATCCAAGGGGCGGGTCGTACGGCACTGCTCTTCAGGCACCTCCGGACAGACCCTGAGGACCCTAGGACTGCGGGTGATCAGGGCTGCGGCCCCTCCTGGCTTCCCGGCGGCGGTCCATGCAGCCGGTTCCCCACCGATCTCTCCTTCCTTTCTTCCACCATCCCGGGCTGCTGCAGCCTGTCGGCCTCCCTCCCTCCCTTGCGGCTCGTGTTTTGTGAATGAATTAAGAGGCGGGGAGGGGGGGGGGCTGTGGTGCGGGGCGCGAGGCTACAGTGTCCCTCCCCCCACTCATGCCCGCAGGGGCTTCGCACCTGCGGGGACACCCACAGCACGTGTCTGTGAGATGAGCTCCCACTCCTTGCCGGCTCAGAGGAACCGAAGGCGCCTAGGCGCGAGCAAGGAGCCGCAGCAGCCAGTGCAAGTTTCCGTACCGCCTCGCGTGGGCCCGGTGCAGGGCGCACCTGTCAGCGAAAGAGGCGCTGCGAACCTTGCAGCCCCTCAAAGTTTCCCGGCTGGGTAGGGAGGTGTGTGTCCTTGTCTGGAGGTTTTTATTTCTTTCCTTCCGTTGTCATACGGGACATCGATCTTGTAAAGCGCCCCAGCCTCGTGCCCTTGAACCCAAGTGCTCCGTAGCTAGCCTGGGTCGGCTTTCCTGGATCTCTTCTGAGGGGATGAGGTAGCGCCCCAGGATATAAAATCACTCTTGTCTACCAGCTTGGGAAAATAACAGCCCCCTGTCTAGGCAGGAGACACCAACCAGAGCCCGCGCCAGAGCCTGACTGCACACAGGATATCTGGCTGCAGAACCTTCTTGGGTCTTCTCTCGGGAGGTGGGTACAAAGGTATTGCCTCTTAATTCCCGAGGGGGAGGGGTCCGGCCCGCGAATGGAACGGACTGGCAACAGCAGGGATGCCGCCTTTGTTTGCAGGCACTCTTAAGCCAAGGTACCTGGGGCCCTGGGAAGATGAGTAGGGCCTGGTTTGGCTGTTATTTCTTGGATTTTCTGTTCCTTCCCGGTTGGGTCGTGGGAAACCGGCACGTGGGTGTGGCCGTGTGGCGTTAGCCAGCCGGGTGAAGCTCAAGCCGGGTGAGGAGCGTGGCGAGAGCTTCGGTAGCTGCCTTGGACCTGACCGGACAGCCTCTGGAACTGCACCGAGGCGGGGCGCCAGGGCGCAGGTTGCTGGGCTGGCCAGGGCACCTCCTGTCTCCAGAAGAGGCAGGCAGCGGGCCCGCAGCACCCTCCATGCATCAGCTAGAGAGGGAACGGGCAGGGGATGTAGGCCTGGAGCGTCCTGGGCTGGGTGTGTGCAGGGAGGGCTGGGAGTCCTACAGAGGAATCATGCGGTGGATCCGGCTGGGGCTGGTAGGGGCAGAGAGCCCAGATGCTAGGCTTCCCGGAGAGGCCAAGCAGCCAAGAGCTTTTTCAAATCGGCACTGTTGGAAGAATGCTTTTGCGAATTTAAGCAGTGACTGTTCCTTACCTATCCTATATAAGAGGTGTCCTTGGCAGCAAAGTCTGTTCCTGGTGGGATGGGGCCCAGTTTCAGGGAGACCAGAGTTGAAGCTGCCTTGGAAGTGAGAGGTCATTGTCTGAGACATGGGTGGAAACGGATTCTCCGGTTGGGACAGGTGGGGGGGCAGGGATAGGGGGTAGGGCAGCCTCTCCACTCCCCCCACCCCCGCTTCATACCCTCTCCCACCTGGGAAACCCTTGAGGGCTAATGTGCATCCATGAAATGTGAGAAGCAAGGAATCATTAGCACCACTCCTAGGGACCCGGACTCTAAGTCGTCGGGCAAGGTCAGGTAGCCAGGAGGCAGTGGAGCTTGTCCAACCCTTGGTCTCTGATGCCAAGTCCTGGGCTCTTCTCATTAATGCACAGCTGTTCACTGCAGGGCAGGTGCTAGGAACCCCAACTTAGTTACAAACGGAAACCTGCATTGTTTGTTTGCCCGAGTGGCTGAGCAGGGGACATGCAGAAGAGCCTAGCAAGGCACTAGGACCAAGTGGGTGGGGCTCCCCAGCAGTCATCTCTGCAGTGCCTGCAGCAGTCCCCTCTGGCTCTCAGTGCTGGACTTGGAGGGTCGTCCATACCCCAACTCTGATCTCCCCCTTCCCTATCAGCTTTCCCCCTGGCCCTTTCTCCTGCCTCTCAAGTAAGTAAAGAAAAAAGTGAAAGCAAACACTGGACAGTTTCTTATGGAGCTAGTGGTGGAAACGGAAAATGATTTGTCTGTTTACCTCACACCCCCTTATGTTCCCTGCTCCTGCATTCTCCATGGGTCTTTTGCTATTACAGAGGAACAGCCCCCTCCCAGACTGTACTCACCTATCAGAGGTGATGGCAGTGGCCATGGACTGACACCTGACCCCTCTTGTCACACTGCCTGTAGAGCTGTCTCCTTGGTGCTCAGTGTACCTGCTGAAGCTCACCTACTAGGTAGGAGCTTTGGGTCAGGCAGGTCACACGCTACCATATTCCAGGGGACTAGCCTTTGTTTGATCTATGATCAGTGCTACTCTATTTCCCTTATATGCTACTGGAACATGCTGTGAGGTTAGTACTATAACACATTTTATAGATCACACAGCTAAAGAGGAAACAACAGTTGGGACTTGAACCCCGAAGTCTAGCTTCTGAGTTTCTTTTTTTAATTTATCATTATTTTTTTTCCAAGACAGGGTTTCTCTGTTTTGTTTTGGAGGCTGTCCTGGAACTAGTTCTGTAGACCAGGCTGGCCTCGAACTCACAGAGATCCATCCTGCCTCTGCCTCCTGAGTGTTGTGATTAAAGGCATGCACCACCAATGTCCAGCCTAATATTTTTTATTTAAATTAGAAACAAGCTTGCTTCACATGTCAATCCCTCTCCCTCCCCTCCTCTCCTGCTCCCCAGCCCCCTACCCAATCCCCACTTCATTCCCCAGGGAGGATGAGGCCCTCCATAGGGGATCTCCAGAGTCTGTCATTTCATTCAGGGCAGGGCCTGGGCCCTCCTCCAAGTGTCCAGGCTGAGAGAGCATCCCTCATTGTGGGATGGGCATGCAAAGTCCATTTGTGTGCCGGGGATAAATACTGATCTACTACCCAAAGCCCCCTAGGTTGCCTAGGCCTCCTCATTGACACCGACTTTCAGGGGGTCTGGATCAGTCTCATTCTGGCCTCTCAGCCATTAGTCTGGGGTCCAAGCTTCTGAGTTTCTGTGTGGTCTTGGTGAAGTTCGATAAGTGATAATGGTTTCTATTAGTGGGTCATTTCTCGTTCTGGGCCTATCTCTTCAGATATGCTGCCCCTGCCTGACCCATTCACTATCTCTTCTGTTCCCAGATGCCGGTGCAGCTGACTACAGCCCTGCGTGTGGTGGGCACCAGTCTGTTTGCCCTGGTGGTGCTAGGGGGCATCCTGGCAGCCTATGTGACAGGCTACCAGTTTATCCACACAGAAAAGCACTACCTATCCTTTGGTCTCTACGGTGCCATCCTGGGTCTACACCTGCTCATCCAGAGCCTGTTTGCCTTCCTGGAGCATCGGCGCATGCGCAGGGCAGGGCGCCCACTGAAGCTGCACTGCTCTCAGAGGCAGCGTTCGGTGGCACTCTGCATTGCTGCCTACCAAGAGGACCCTGAGTACTTGCGCAAATGCCTGCGTTCAGCTCAGCGCATCGCCTTCCCAAACCTCAAGGTGGTCATGGTAGTGGATGGTAATCGCCAGGAAGATGCCTACATGCTAGACATCTTCCATGAGGTGCTGGGAGGCACTGAGCAAGCTGGCTTCTTTGTGTGGCGTAGCAATTTCCATGAGGCGGGTGAAGGAGAGACAGAGGCCAGCCTGCAGGAAGGCATGGAGCGTGTACGAGCCGTAGTGTGGGCCAGCACCTTCTCATGTATCATGCAAAAATGGGGAGGCAAGCGTGAGGTCATGTACACGGCATTCAAGGCCCTTGGCAACTCGGTGGACTACATTCAGGTAAGGCTGCCTCCCTAGGAGTGTGTGCACACAGGCACACGTGGCCAGCAGGGCACACTCTCCTCCAGCAACTTTAAATGTTGTGTATTAGTCATCCGTCCTCACCCATAAACAAGGTACAGTAGTTCTGAAGAAACTGCGGTTGACCAAACCTGGGCTGTGGTTCTGTTGGTAACTGGGCAGATCTCTGAACTGGTGTCCCCATAATAACAGCAGCAAAAGGATGACTTCATACCAGGCACTTTTGGGGGTGCCTCAAATATGTCCTTTTTTTTAAGCCCTTATAATAGCTCTGTAGATAAGTACTGCTCTTTCAGAGTTCCCAGAAAGGTGAAACAGAAGTTTAGAGGATAACTTGCCTAATGTCAAACAGCAGACCAAAATACCAGCCTGGGCAGCCAAAACGCCATGGCCTGCTTCTAGCCCATGTGTTTCACTCCTGGCCACTAAACACCATAAAGAAGTCTGACCAAGGGACTAGAGAAATAGCTCACCAGTTAAGAGCACTGTTCTAGTGGAACCACCTTCTGTTCCCACACAGCAGCTAACAACCTCTGTAACTTCAGTTCCAGAGTATCTGACACCCTCTTATGGCCTTTGCAGGCAATACATGCATGTAATGCAGATTTACATGTAGAGAAAACACCTGTATACACAAAGATACATTTTTTCTTTTCTTTTCTTTTTTTTAAGACAAAATTTCTCTTTGTAACCCTGGCTGTCCTGGGACTTGCCCTGTAGACAAGACTGGCATTGAACTCAGAGATCTGCCTGCCTTTGCCTCCCAGAGTGCTGGGATTAAAGGCGTGCACCACCACCATCTGCCATAAAAATAAATCTTAAAAAATTAAGTATGAGTAAAAGGATCCTGATAAAAACTACTCAGCTTTGTTTGAGTTAGGACCACAAAGTCCCATTCTTCCTAGTGCCAGAATTCCTGTCTGACACAGCAGCTAGAGGGACTCAGGTATATGAATGGCCAACTTCCTTTTTACAGTGTTGGCAGGGCTGGAACTCTAAATAGACCTTGCCCAGATCCTGATCAAGTGGTCACTGGCACCAGCCTGGAAATTCTATTAGACTGAGAAGGTTTATATAACTTAAAATTTCAAATACAAACTAGAGAGCGGAAAGGATTGAAAGTATACATTTTAGTACCAACTAGAAGCAGACAACTCAGTTGCCCAAATTCTGGTCCAGAGTTCCTTACAGCCTCTTGTGACTTCTCCACTTGCCAAAGGGTTCTGCCAATTGTTTGTAAGCACTTGAAACCAACAGTGGCTGTTTGGTAGCCACTGTGTACTGATTTTATCTTATTGGCATCATGTTCAGTCCTTGAATGCTATTACGTGTTCTATAATATAAAGTTAGCTTATATATGTTCTCGTGTGTGTGTGTGTGTGTGTGTGTGTGTGTGTGTGTGTATGTGTGTGTGTGTGTGTGTGTTTCTCCCCAAGACAGGTTTTAGTGGATCCATGGCTGTCCTGGAACTTGTTTTGTAGACCAGGCTGGAGTCAAACTCAGAGATCTGTCTGCCTCTGCCTTCCAAGTGCTGTGATTAAAGGGGTGTACTACCACTGCCTGGCCCTACCTTTGTTTTGTTTGTTTTTTTGTTTTGTTTTGTTTTACAAGACAGGTTTCTCTGTATTGTTTTGGAGGCCACCGGTCCAGCCCAGCCTCGAACTCACAGAGATCTACCTGCCTCTGCCTCCCAAGTGCTGGGATTAAAGGTGTGCACCACCACCGCCCGGCCCCCTACCTTTTGTTTTTATTTTATATGTTTATAAATTTTGCCTGCATATTCTGTCTGTGCACCATGTGTGACTGCTGCCCATGGACGCCAGAAGAGGGAATTTGATTCCCTAGAACTGGAGCTTTAGGCAGCTGTAGTAGTGGGAATCAACCTGGGTCCTCTGGAAGAGCAGCCAGTGCTCTTAACTGTTGAGCCATCTCTCCAGCCCAACTCCCCCCAACCCCTTTTAAACTTATCCTTGTATAAGAGATGACGTGTTTGTCTTTTCTTAACTCGGTGGACGAAAGCATGTAAGGAGGGATATGCCTAGAAGACTGATTCTGCAGTTTACCTGGGAACTTAGGATCTTTGTTAAACTTCTCTTAGAACGCAGCAGCACAGGAAAAAGCCCTTGGTCTTGGCAGCTGCTCAGGTAACAATAATTTTATCAGCCATTCCCTGAAGCACAGGAGCCAACCAAACCTACTTTGCCTTTCCTCATCATTTGTGTGTTCTGGGGGACTTTCAGACCCCCACTAAAGCCATGTTCTGCTCTTCATGGTCTTGAGCCACTACCTAAGGCAGCTCTGGGTTCTAGCCGGTCTTCCAACAGCTAAAGATATATCTGCCAGCAACTTTAGTAACGATGGGACAGGATTTGAGTTCATCTGCTCTGAGAACATTCAGTGGGTTAGTAAACCCCCTGCCCAGTAGGGTGCCAGGATCACTTCAGCAGCTTCAAAAAAGCGGACAGAAGGGCTGGAGAGGTGGTTCGGGATTAAGAGCACCGGCTGCTCTTCCAAAGGTCCTGAGTTCAATTCCCAGCAACCACATGGTGGTTCACAACCATTTATAATGAGATCCAGTGCCCTCTTCTAGTACGTAAGCATACCTGCATATAAAACACTATATTTGATAAATATTAAAAAAAAAAAAGAGACAGAAAAGGTTGGTCACGGTGCCTTACAACTTCAGTCCCAGAACTTGGGAGGCAGATGCAAGCAGGTATCTGAGTTCAAGGCCTTACTGATCTACACAGTGCTCCAGTACAGTCAGGGATACATGAAGAGACTGAAATGAAAGGAAGGAAAGAAGACAGGCAGGCAGGCAGACAAACTAACAGCAAATTAGCCACTATGGTTAAGTGTTCCCAGAGCTCAGGTGTAGCTAACAGTGATGTGTTAGACCACATGGGAAGGAGCTACATTTGTGGGCAGGATTTGATGCAGGGTGTGATTGTTGGCAACTGCTGCCAGCTTCTGGGCCTATTCAGAATAGGTCAGACAAGAGGAGTTGTTGGTCACATATTCCTGTCACAGAGACCTGGCCAAGATTCCAAGCACAGAATGCTTAGGCAGCGCTTGTCTCATGAAAGGGCTTTTGGGCAGGTAGACTCATTCTTATCACAGGGCTGTAGGTTCACCAGGAGCCAGGGCTGAAATGAGATCACCTCAGCAGTAGCCCCTTACACCATCTCCTGGGGATCCCTCCTTCGCCTCAGCTGTCTGCTCCCCTGCTTCACTTTGATTCCCCCTCTCTTTCAACCTAGCATAGAGAAGTCTGCTGGATGTGAATGTGAGAGGGGGTCAGGCTCCTCAGGCAGGAGGGGCTTCCTGAAGTGGGAGGGTACTTGTTTAGACCTGCGGTGCTGACAGCACACTTACCTCCCTGCAGGTGTGCGACTCTGACACTGTGCTGGACCCAGCCTGCACCATGGAGATGCTTCGAGTCTTGGAAGAAGATCCTCAAGTAGGGGGTGTTGGAGGAGATGTCCAAGTAAGAAATGATCAGGAGTTCCTGGGGTTTGGGGTTGGCCTTCTCTGTTTCAAAGCCAGTGGAATATGCCCGCGAAACAAATCTCTGAACTTACTAGTATCTGGGGAGCAGTTTCCTTTAGAGTTTTCACTGATCTTAAATAGCACATTTCACTGACAGCTCAACTCATTTCCTGCTCTTCTTGGACATGAGTAAGGGGAGAGGGGCATTAGAAAATCTGAAGAGGGGAGTTGGAGAGATGGCTTAGTTATTAAAATTACTGCTGCTCCTGCAAAGGACCCAAGTTTGATCACCAGCATCTACATGATGGCTCACAATAGGTCATAACTGCAGCTCTAGGGGATCTGATGCCCTCTTCTGGCCTTCACAGGCATGCAAGCAAGCAACACCCACACAAATAAAATAATTCTTTTCAAAGTCCATGGATTTGGGAGGACCTATGATTTGGATACTGCAGGTCTCAGAAACTACTTCCTTTGGGACTGACAGAGTAGCAGATAGCTCCCAAGTTAATTCCTTAAAGAGCCCATACTTTAGGGACTCAGCTTAGAGAGCTGTAAGCAGTATATTTAGCACACAGAGCCAGATCTTTTGGCAGAGGACAGTGTAGACAGTGTCAAGTCCTCCTAAAGGCTTTCCAACCACCAAAGGAGCAAGACAGGTAGAGTAGTTTTGCTTTCTGCTTCTTTCTCAAGTCCTTTTCTCTGCCACCACCAGTGCCTCTCCTGAGGTAAGGCACTGACTACCGGAGCATCTTCACTGGGAGTCAGTGCAGGTGCTGGTGTGAAACTGGAGTGGGGCTGGAGAGTGAGCAGAGTCCCCCGTTCTAGTAAGTCCAGATCTAATGCCCAGGAATTTGAGCAGCAGGCCATAGAACTCAGGGTAGAAAGGCCTGAGATGAACACAGCATCTGTTCCCTTACAGATCCTCAACAAATACGATTCATGGATCTCCTTCCTGAGCAGTGTGAGGTACTGGATGGCCTTCAATGTGGAGCGGGCCTGCCAGTCCTACTTTGGCTGTGTACAGTGTATCAGTGGGCCTTTGGGCATGTACCGAAACAGCCTCCTTCAGCAGTTCCTGGAGGACTGGTACCATCAGAAGTTCCTAGGCAGCAAGTGCAGCTTTGGCGATGACCGGCACCTTACCAACCGAGTCCTGAGTCTTGGTTACCGGACTAAGTATACAGCTCGCTCTAAGTGCCTCACAGAGACTCCCACTAAGTACCTCCGATGGCTTAACCAGCAGACCCGCTGGAGCAAGTCTTACTTCCGGGAATGGCTCTATAATTCTCTGTGGTTCCATAAGCACCACCTCTGGATGACCTATGAATCAGTGGTCACAGGCTTCTTCCCATTCTTCCTCATTGCCACAGTCATACAACTTTTCTACCGTGGTCGCATCTGGAACATTCTCCTCTTCCTGCTGACGGTGCAGCTGGTGGGCATTATCAAGGCTACCTATGCCTGCTTCCTTCGAGGCAATGCAGAGATGATCTTTATGTCTCTCTACTCCCTTCTCTATATGTCCAGCCTCCTACCAGCCAAGATCTTTGCCATTGCTACCATCAACAAGTCTGGCTGGGGCACTTCTGGCCGAAAAACCATTGTGGTGAACTTCATTGGCTTAATTCCTGTGTCCATCTGGGTGGCAGTTCTTCTAGGGGGCCTGGCTTACACAGCTTATTGCCAGGACCTGTTCAGTGAGACTGAGCTAGCCTTCCTAGTCTCTGGGGCCATCCTGTATGGCTGCTACTGGGTGGCCCTCCTCATGCTTTATCTGGCCATTATTGCCCGGAGATGTGGGAAAAAGCCAGAGCAGTGCAGCCTGGCTTTTGCTGAGGTTTGAAACCCCTGAGTAAAGTGGGAAAAGTGCAATGGATAAGGGCGGGGAGGGGAGTGGAAAGATAGGGTGGGAGGGAGGAGGGAGTTTTGTGTATTAGTTTCGTGGCTGAAAGGACAAAGCTGAAGTGCAGAGAGTTGTGACTGGTGTGCTCTGAAGCTTGGCACTGATTTTTCAGGCACAGGGTAGATAAATTTGTCTGCTTGTGTTTAGGCTACTTGTCTGCTTGCCCTTGCACAGACAGTGATCTGAGAAAAAGATTTCACTTCCTTCTGCAAACTACAGAGAACCCAGAAGTGTGCTAAACTTAGTGCTAAGTGGCAACTTTAGATACAGGAGCAAGCAATGACAGCCTTTAGGAAAGTGTCCTCCTAGCCCATTGGAACATGGTCTAAGAGAAGTTTCCATCAAGTCTGGCCAGCTAGTGTCCCCTTCCCCCAACCTCTATTAGCCATCAATGCATTAAGCTTGTGCCTGAGATAACAAGGCTGGGAAGCCAGATCTTTGGTCAGAAAACAGGGTCTAAGAAATGGTGCTTTATGTAATATACTCCCACTGCACAGCAAAACATCCCAGGGATGAGTCAAGCCACCAGGACTAAGTACTAAGTTTGGTGGTTATTGTTGTGTTTGTTGTGTGTGTGTGTGTGTGTGTGTGTGTGTGTGTGTGTGTGTGTGTGTGTGTGTGTGTTATAAAGGGAAGTTTGGTCAGGTGTCAGGGCTATGTATAATCCCAGCACTTGGAAGGTAGGTTTAAGAGATAAGAGGTTCAAGGCCAGGCTGGGCAACATGAGATACTGTCTCTTAACGAAAACTGTTTGACAGGAGGGACAAAGAGATTGTCGTGGTGCTAAAAAACCATGGAGGCCTTGGACTGAATGTATTCCAACTAGAAACTGCTCAGACTTTTACAAGGGTCCCAAAATTGTCAAGAGACCTTGCTGGGCAGATCAGATTTACCGGGAACTTCAAACTCCAATGTTTTCAGAAAAGTCTTAGATGTTTTGGCTCATTCATACCTGAATTCCTCTCAAATTCAGCTCTGATCTGATGCTAGACACCCTACTTGATATTTTATTTTCTTCAAAGATATTGTTCTTAGTTGTTGTTTTCTAGTGGCTGTGAGCAGCGGTCATCTACTCATTTTCGTGGGTAACTTTCTTCCCGTGGCAGGGCGAACTTTTTTTATTTTTTATTTTTATTTATTTTTTTGGTTTTTGAGACAGGGTTTCTCTGTGCCTTTGGAGGCTGTCCTGGAACTAGCTCTTGTAGACCAGGCTGGTTGAACTCACAGAGATCTGCCTGCCTCTTCCAAGTGCTGGGATTAAAGGTGGGCACCACCACCGTCTGGCCTAGACTGAACTCTTACAAGACCTACAATGCTCGTAAGGCTGCTCCCTACATGCATGGAAACACAACTTCTGATCATATTGTTCTTCATCTTGGATCGGGTCAGAACCTTGGCAGCTGGTTAGCACATGTGATTGTTCTCAACAATCATCCCCAATGGAAATCTTCCTGGTGTTGCCCAAATGAACCCTAAATCCACGCTGGTCATCTTTGAGACCATCCATTCTCCTCAGTGGCTTCTCCACGGAACTCTATGGCTAGGTAGTGGATACTCCCCCATTTGCTGCTTCAGTCCAGGAACCAAACTAGGTGATGGAACTGGTCAAACAGCCTTCAATCCTCTCATACCCCTCATAGCTACTTGATTTCCCTGCTTCTTTTAGGGAGTGATGAGAAGTTCTTTTTTTTTTTTTTTATCGTTTTGAAATCAAGACCAGATTGGGCTTTTGGATCTGAAACCTGGGATCATGACTAAGCCTTTGACTTTAGGGGTTGCTTATACATTTTCCAAACATTTGTTCTCAGGAGGGGCCAACTAACCTCTCAAAACCAACATTGAAGTAGAAAGCAGTGTACACAGGTGCTTCCTACAAAGGATGAAGTGCACTTCAAACCACAGATGGACAAACCCTGGGATTTCCCTTCCTCTCATGAACACAAGGGTTTTCCAGGTATAGCTAACAGTTGCCACAGCACACAGACCTCAAGTTTCCAGTAAAACTGCTGGCTGATGTCAAGCCCAACCAATGGTGGCTGGGAAGCAGCAGTCATTTGTTACAGGCAGTTGTTCTGGGTCCTTCTGCTAAGTGAAGTGTTTTGTGCACTACAATGGAGGCAATCCAGCCCGTCAATCACAGGGCTGACTTTACTAAGTGCGTGTTTCTCTTCAGTTTTTACTTGAAAGTTAGTACAGGACAATGGACTCTGGATGAAAACTGACTGTCCTACAATCAGCTCCTCTGCCTTGCACTGTGGTCAACTTTCCTCAGATTAAAGATGCAGGTACAGTAGTGAGCTTACAACATTTGACCTCGACTGGATTTTCTAATTTATTTTATAAGTTTTTCAGCAGTAAAACTAAACTGGGTCTACAGCTGTATCCCTGTTTCTTGCAAAGGGAAGAGCCTTTATACAATGAGACTCATTTTGGTTTTTCCTCGTTGACAATTTCAGCCTCTTTTGTATTATTTCTACAATTTGTAAGCATATTTATTTTTACCTTTTTTTTTTAAATGAGGGAACTTTAGCATTTAAGGTGGGGGGAATCAGAAGGGAGGTGGCTTTACTTGGTGATAATATTCATATCATGTTCTTGGCACAGCCACTGAGCACAATGCATGGACCTTTTGCCTCTTAAGCAAAGTCACATGCAGAGGTGTGCAGCTGGAGTTCCTCTTTGTCAAATGAGCGAATGCATCCACTGTTCTATCTTCATTTACCCAAGTCCTTCATATCAAAGCAGTGGATTCCATGGATTCTGGAAAACCTCCCATCCCGTCCATGCACACAGGATGACTTATATAGCCATCCTTCTCCGTGAAGTCTTAGATGAAGCCACAGCAGTCCTTTTGTTGTCTGTACTTAATGGTGATCTTGTTCTCAATGCTGTACATGGATAGGGGTGGCAACATGCTGGAGCCATACTCTGTACCACAGTATCCAGTTAGGGCTATGACCAGCCCTCTTTTCACAAGCTCCTTGTCTAGGGATGGTGGTAGAGGCTGAGATCTCTCAGCTGCTTATCACACAGGCTCCAGCTCAGGTTTCCCTGACTCAATCTAAGGATGTGATCTTTATTTAACATAAATCCAGGAGCTGCTCCTGTTCCTCCAGACAAGTCATAGGTGGGAATTCCTCAGAGTGCAGCACAACTCTACCAGGACCCCCTTCTCAGAATGATCCTTTTCCTGCTTCACAAGCTCTACCATTTTTCAATGCTGTCATACAGTTGTAGTCATTGCAGGGAACCACAACCAATGCCCTTTGCCTACCCCATCCCCAGATGCTTTTGCAGCTTCAACTCTGCCTTTACCTTCTGCTCCTCTTGGACTCTGATGGTGGAGCTCCACCTCTGTCATCTTCCATACTCTCTACTCCAGCATCATCTAGTGAGGATGCAGGCTGAAGATAATGGCTCCTCTTTCTCCAGGACCACCTCTGCACTCTGGGTAGTTGGTGCTGACCTTTGCCCAGCAGTATGGAACCTAAGTCCCCCTTTTGAGTCTAATGCTCAAGAGGCTATATGTCACCTTCCAGCACTACCACTTCAAGGACTTTTTCCCTTTCTGCTTAGTCAACTTAAAGGCCACCATCTCCTTGAGTGTGAAATACTCAGAGATGAGTTGAGGCCCTGCTGAACTTGTAGTTCCAGGCTAACACAGTCCTCTGCCAATTCTCATTAATGAGACTACTGGTGGTATCACTCTAGTTCATATGAAAGGTGTTTAGCCAGTTCCTCTCCAATTCCCCAGCTTATTTAGCTACCAAAGAGTAGATTTTGCTGTGTCAAGACCACCTGCATGGTGGGGCTAAGTACAAAGCCGCGCTAGGGCTACTTCCACATTATTCTTGGCCAACTTTCTATCCACCAGGTTCCTATTCACCAGCAGCACATCTTCCAACCTTGCAGCATTCCTTCTGTCCTTGGAATTAAGGGTATGCTACTCAGTGAGGCCCTGCAAGTCTAAAGCACTGCACAGTTCTCTATCCAAACTCCCCCATTAGCACTGATGCCAGTCTCTTGATCTATCTCCTCCACCAGCTTAGTCCTCTTCTCTGCCAGGCCTTCTGTAGCTCCTCACTATCCAGGCTGTGGTGTTCCTAAGGCAGGGATCATCCTCAACTTCTGGCTCAGGAGTGCCTTTCTTGTAGTTCTTCTCTAAAGGCCATGGGATTGAGACATTGGCTGCTGTAAGCTCCTCTTTCTTAACACTGTCCATCAAGAGTTTCAACCTCAACTTGGCTGGACCTGGTGTTTCAATGATGATTAACAGCATCCTGAACTGGATGGGCCTTAGTGGTCAACATACTTTCTAGCTTCTCCATTGCTCAGAGTACTGTGCAGCACCATTAGGGACCTTAATTTCTTAACTTCTCCCCACCCCCAATACAACTCCACCTCTGTTGTTCACTGCAGGTGCCATTCTGGTGCTGTTTCTTGTACTAATGTTGCTGTGGCAGCTTGATGGTGCCCTGTGCCAGCCATAACTGGTCCTAGCAACCTTTCTCTCAGAGGAGCTTGATGGCCCCATAGTTAGTGCTAAATTGGCCTTAGTGGGCCGCCACCAAGCCCTAATGACACAAAAATGCAAATAATTCCTAGTGACAAGGCAGCTGCCAACCTGTTGCTGGCAACAAGTGGCTGCTTTCTGGCATTGTCATCTTAATTGTCCTTGGAGATTAGCTTTTTTGTTGTTTTCAGGTAAATCATTTTTTATTGCACTTATAAAAATAAAAACTTGTACATAATGCTGATGTGTCCATTGCTGCGACTTTAGGAGGAAAGGTTCACTCTGGCTTACATTTTTGGTCTCTTATTGACTGACTCCATTTCTGAGCACTTGGTGAGGAAGAGTATCATAGGAGGGAACTGTAGTCAAGCAAAGCTACTCAACTAGGAGCTGCAGGGAAGCAAGGGACAAACACCTCACGAGGCGATCTATGTTCACAGTAACCTTCTCCAGCTGTGCTTTGC